ACTTAGTAATAGTGATCCAGTCATAACTCGAGCACTATCTTTATGTGATTGCAACTATTTGTGAGAAAAAGTAGAAATAATGCAAGTGAAAGAATAAAGCATTGCTATTTCAGTATATGATCTAATTTCTCAAGAATTCTTGAATAAATCATTATAATCAGAAAAAGACATATTTGTGAAATTATAAAAAACAACTTATGAGTTACTAGAGTGGAATATGGTGCTGAGTTGAGGGGAGAGTGAACCCCAGATGCTAATATTCTTTAAAATTGTCTTAGCAAGATATCTTGAACCACAAATTGGTAAATAGTTCTGTAAATGTGATGGAATTTGGTGCTGAGTTGAGAGGAGCAGTGAAATTAATCCAGTCTGGCAAGAATAATATCAGGCACAAGGACCAGAAACAACATGATGAGCTGAGCAGAATAATATGTTTATCGTTGTTTGTTTGTGGTAGTTGTCATTTAACAATGATATTGTCAATAATTATAAATATGAAAAAAATCAGTTATATAGAATAATAGGTGAATGAAATAATTTTGCCTTTCCCAAGCCTTTAAGGAAAGTATCAGAAGATTGTTGTTGCTTTTAGCAATTTATTGCAAGATGAAATTTGATTTGATGTAATAAAAATTGTCTGAGAAGAAAGATAGGGATTCTTATCTTCCTATGAATCAGCCATCTGAAATTCAAAAGCTGGTGCTACTATGCCTCTAGAATAGCTTGTTTTCCAATAACAATTTCCTCCTGCAACAAATGCAGCTGCAGGAAACTACTTAAAGCATTCATTGTTCATTCAGCTGATCTTCTGATTCAACAAGAATCCCATACATCCAGGGGTGGGTTTCTACCGGTTCTGTCCACCTCTGTAGAACCAGTAGCTCTGAAGAGCAGCAGACATAGAACCAGTTCTATGTCTGCTAATGTTTTTGCCCCCCCACACACCTGGGCTTTTACCTGATCTTTATTTCCCGATTTTTCAACTTCAGTGCTGAATGAGGCACAGCTGCAGTTAAAAAAAGCAGGAAAAGAGGGCTGTTTCAAAGGCTGCTTCTCTGCACCCAGCATGCTGATGACGATTTACAGGTGTGTGGCGCCCAGCAGTTGCAGGGAAGCTTGTAAATCCCGAACCAGTAGTTAACCCTGTCATATCCCACCCCTACATACATCCTTCTTCAGACAGCACATAATAATCTCATGGAATCCATTGCTACAGGAGGTAGTGATAGCCCTTAATTTGGATGGCTTTAAAAGAGGATTGGATAAAATCATGGAGGACAAGTTTGTCATGTCTTGATTGAATGTCATCTCCATGGTGGGAACAAACACCAATTGCAACAAGTGGAGGAGACTGTGCCTCTCCCACTGGTTTATATCTCAGAGGTGTCTGATTGGTCACCATCAGAAACAAAATGGTAGACTAAGATAGAACTTGGTTTAACTCATTAAGGCTATTGCATGTCTTCCACGTATCTTCTTTCAAACTTGTGCTTGGAAACCCCCCATTGTAGTGCTGTTGTTCATGGATCAACATGGCAATCAAAAATATTTTTGATAAGATTAAAGAAAACAAAGATCGTCACATTTTCCATTAAAAAACAAACAAATTTCAATCCATGGCTGAAAAAATATCATCATTGAGTCCAACTTTCAAAAACTAGAAACTAATAAAAGCCAAATAAATATATTTCTAGCACAGAGTGTTAGGAAAAATAATTTCCATTCACAATCCTAAGCACTCTGAATTTTAAAGCTATTATGCTTTCATTTTTCTTTTAATAACCATAATTTCAAAATATTAGTAATGCATTATATATGGCTTTTCATATTATTCTGAGACACTTTGCAGTAATTATTTGTATTTTTTTTTCTTTTAGTACAAACAAGTCGAGCAGTACATGTCGTTTCACAAGCTACCTGCAGATATGCGTCAAAAAATCCATGATTATTATGAGCACCGTTACCAAGGCAAGATCTTTGATGAAGACAGCATTCTTAATGAACTCAATGACCCTCTTCGGGAGGTAAGGAAATGGTGTTGATGATGTACGAGGAAAGAAAATTCTTTCTCAATTTGAACTGCAGGAGAATTCAGAAAGTTCATCTTTTCTTAAGGTTTTTGTTTTGTTTTTATTTTGTGCCTTTGAGCAGGTTTCTTGACAAGATTTTTAAAAGTAGATTACCACTGTATTCTTTCTAATGCCATCCACTTGGCTGTGTGCCTGAGACAAAACTAGAATTCAGCTAACGGTTACAGGAACTGGGCATGGCTAGTCTAGTGAAGAGAAGGACCAGGGGAGACATGACAGCAGTCTTCCAATATTTGAGCGGCTGCCACAGAGAGGAAGGAGAAAAGCTATTTTCCAAAACACCCAAAGGCCAGACAAGGAATAATGGATGGAAACTGAACAAGGAGAGATTCAACCTGGAAATAAGGAGAAACTTTCTGACAGTGAGAACAATCAACCAATGGAACAGCTTGCCCTCAGAAGTTGTGGGAGCGCCATCAGTTGAGACCTTCAAAAAGAGATTGGACTGCCATTTGTCAGAAATGGTGTAGGGTCTCCTGCTTGGGTGGGGGGTTGGATTAGATGACCTACAAGGTCTCCTCCAACTCTGATTATCTGTTATCTGGATTCTCGTAGGTTTACAACCTGGTGCCATTATTAGATCAAACTTGCATAACATGTGGAATTCTCCTATTTGATTCCTGCAACATGCAGGTAGAATTAGAACTGCATTCCTATGAATACTTATTACCAGATAAAATTGGACTTTTTATTTAAACAGATCCTAAAGTAACCAGGGATGATAACTCCATGATATATATGTGTGTGTGCGTGCGTGTATGTACAAACAGGCAGATTTGTCCTCAAGTCAATTTTTGACTCCCAGTGACTGCATGGACAAATCACTGTAGTTTCTTGGCAAGGTTTGCATGGCCTCTTTACTAGGACTGAGAAAGAGTGACTGGCCCAAGTCTACCTAGCAGAATCATAGTTGCTTGGTTTCTAGCCTGATGCCTCAATTACAATACCATAGTAATTTATTTACCTTAGTTTTATTTTTTAAACAGCTCCATAGCAAAAGTATTTAAATTACAGCTCTCAGAGTACCATTCGAATTCCACTCCACTATTATTTGCTGGAGGTTGGTAAAGAAGACCATCATTGGAATGGTTCCGATATTGTTGGTAGAAACTTTTCTTCAGTTCCTTAATAAGCAAAAGCCAGTAGGTCAGAATAAACCATTTACAGGAGCTGTTTCATTGGCCCTGATAATTTTAGCATAGGTTAGTCATCCACATCGACTCTGGAGTGAGTATTTTTCTATCAGCCACCACCATCAGTGAAAGAAATAGTTCTTTTAAAATATTCAGCAGGTATTAAATCCACAAGATCACCTACTTAGCCTAGCTGTGAACTGGCAAGTTTGAGATGAATTTGCTATTTCTTCTGTAGGAAGATTGCTATGGTCAATCTATATATATTAAAGTGAAATACCACTCATGCATCATCACAAAATCTCCAGAACTGTAAAGCCTACAAACTTGAAATTTGGCACGTACATTCCTCTTGGCTTCTAGATGCTCAATAAGAAAACATCTTTCAGAATGACCATCAGAGCATTAGTATTTCGATTATTATTGTTAACATGCTCTGCTGCTAAGGAGTTCTACTCCTTCTCCCCATCTGAAAAGAAATCTGTTCCAAATGCAAAACACAAACAGAGGAGAGGTGTTTCAGTTTTAGTTTCACAGCACCAAGCAGCTTTAGTACAGAACAGTACAGAACAGCCACGCCCAGGCTCCTTGCTCACACAGCAAATACTGTTTCCAAACAGCCCTGAACTCTCTCACACACTGACAGGATGCTAGCCAGATGAATACCAATGGATGCTGGTAGGCAGAAGCAGAATTTTTTCCCCTTATTTTTCTCCCCAAAAATGAAGCCCAACCACATAGTTTCGTAGCGAAGCACAGGTATCGAGCTAGTAAAATTATATGCTAAGCTACTGCATTGGAAAATTATTGGTGTAGCTCCAGTGTCCAAGAACAAAATCTATAGTAATCAAGGCAATTTCAACCTTCTCATCTTCTCTCTAGGTGACATGGTAGAAAGCACCTTAAAGGTTCAGTCTCATAATAAAGAATGGGAAGCATGCCTCTCATAAAAAGAGGTTCTGCCTTTGTATTTAGACTTGCAGTCACCTAAGCAGTAGCCTGTGAAATCATTAAGTACAGAGTATAAAGTGAAACTAGGCCACCTTAACTCATCTAAGAACTGGTGGACTGTGCAACTTGAACAAGTTCAGTTTTTCTCACTTGACTAATGTTGAATTTCTTTTTTGTTTGCAAGAATAATTTTCTATTAGCATTATTGAAATACCACGCTCATTAATTTTAAAATTCTAATAAAAGAATGACAAATGTTACAACTTCCACAATCTTTAACCTTTTCAAACTCTGTTTTCTATTTATTAGATAATGAATTTTATTTCCTTTGTAGATGAGGGAAGGCAATTCAATTAATTAGAGTTGCACTTAGAAAAATGCCATTGAGCTAACAGTCACTTTGAAGAAAACATTAAAAAGCAAACAAACATGAAAATGATGAAATGCTTTGCACAAAAAGTGGGGCAGCTGGAAATATTAACAAAAGAGTGGATATTATCATGCACCATTCATTATAGTTGGTCATTGCAATGCTTTCGTTAATTGTGTTTTCAAGTGATCTAAATGGGTATACTCAGTAAATTCATTCAGTTGGGCTTCATAGGATATTTCATTCAGTGGAGATGTCATTGCATATTTATGACTTTTGTGGAATTATAAAAAAGTATTGGGAGAAAAACAAGAAAGAAAACCAACCATTGGAAATATTTTTGGTAGAGCCAGTACTAATAGTTGTATCTGCTTGCTTAATATTCTAGAAAGCAATAGCAATAGAATTTAGACTTATATACTGCTTCATAGTGATTTACAACCCTTTAAGCAGTCTACAGAGTCAGCATATTACCCCCAACAATCTGGGTCCTCATTTTACTGACCTCAGAAAGATGGAAGGCTGAGTCAACCTTGAGCCTGGTGAGATTCGAACTGCAAAATTGCAGCCAGCCAGCAGAAGTAGCCTGCAGTACTGCATTCTAACCACTGTGCCACCAAGGCTTCTTAGATTTGCTGAGAGTTGTGTAGTATAGGAATCCCCAACACCCAGGCTACAGCCCACTACTAGGTTGTAGCCTATTTACAACCAGACAATCACACAATTCGTAATCACACAATTTTGAGTGGCGGGCCGGTACACACATATATGCTACAGCTCAATTTGCACGAGAAGTGGCGGGTTGGCATGCATGCACATGCACACACAGTTCAACTTTTGCAAGTCGAGCTGTGTGTACATGCACGTACACGCCAGCCTTCCACTCACATGGCTGGTTTCCCTCTCCCCTCCTTCCAGCAAGCCGCCAAGACGCAACGGTTGGGTTGGGGACTGCTGGAGTAGTATATAAGAGGAGGTATAAGAGGAAAAGGAGGAGGTCTTTGAGCAGAATCCTGGGGATTACACAAAATAATAAAAACTAAATTAAATTGAAGTTTTTAATATGGTAAAGTATCAGAAGGGAACAGTTATTAAATACATAAGACATTATTGTATTAATTATTTCATTCAGGTACATAAAACATTAGATATCTTAGAGCTGACCCTAAGCCAGGCTTCTTTCAATCTCAGAACCACACAAGCCAACTCAGTCAAGCAGATCTTTTGTTCTGCCATCACAACATTACCTATTAGCTAAGAAACTGCTGGCAGATGCTAGTTCTGCATGGAGGGAAAGCTTTTAAATCAATCTGCAGGATTTCTCAAATGACCTTCAGCTATCATTTTTTTAATTTCACATTTATTTATTTCATCAACTTGCTATAATGTATAAATATATATACTATAAATTCATTTCTTGTAGGTTTTCAGAAATACACAACCATAAGCATACAGAAATATACATTGAGTATAAATACTAAAACAGATTCTATTTGCCCCGTACTTTTTAGAGGCAGTGCTTGCAAACACATTTTTCTTAGTGAAATCGCCACAATTTAATTTGTCATAATAATGATCAGCCTTCCTTTTAATAATATGTACATCCATTGTAAAGTAGGGAGCAACATGAGTCAGTTTGTACTAAGATTGCAAATCCTGGCTGTAAGCATTTGGATGAACACTAAATAGCAGCTGCGATCTAGAAATCTCTGCATCTTTGTTGCCATCTATATTTTTGCAGCTGAAATTCAATAGGACTAGTTATTTTGCATAATGTGAAGTTGTTTAAACATGGTTAACTGGCCACATTCATGCAGCCATTTAGCTGTCAACCATGGTTTATAGACTGCAGTGGCTGGATCTCCCAACCACATGAAGCTGTACCACTCCCCATCTCCAGAATTTTATCTTACTGCCATTATATGCATGGGTGTTATATATAATTTTCTAATCATATCAGCAAGTTTCTAATTATATAAGCAATTCTAATTATAAGCAAGTTTGTAAGTTATGCAAAAGTGCCATTCAGTTAGGGCTTAAAATTCAGATCAGGGAATAGATGCAAAAGTAGATCCTGTGCTGCTGTGTGATATAGTGCAGTTTTAATGACAGATGTACCATTTCTGAGCCCATTTTATTGAGCTCTTCCAAACAAATTAAAAAGGGAAATCCCAGCATTCCTCTCTGACATGATCAATAAAGGTAAAGATTTTTCTTGCCCAGTCATGTCCGACTCTAGGTGCTCATCTATTTCTTAGCTGAGGGAGCCGGCATTGTCAGAAGACATTTCTATGGTCATGTGGACAGCATGACTATAAGCCATGGGATATGGAACACTGTTACCTTCCCACCAAAGTGGTACCTATTTACCTACTTGCATTTTCATGCTTTGGAAATGCTAGATTGTTAGAAGCTGAGCAAGTAAAGGAAGCTCACCCCATTGCGCAGCACTCAGGTCTTGAACCCAGGCTGGCAATTTTCCAGCTGATGAGCTCAGCATCTTTAACCACAGAGCAACTGCAATGCAAATCTTAAATTGCAATCTCCATGTTAGAAAAAAAAATTGACATGTAGGAAACAGTTGCCTTTTCATTACTCACCATTATCTTCCCCTCCCTGTCCTATATCTAAAGAATCAAGAAGAAATATATTGATCTGAGTCCCAGAGCTATTGTAAAGAGTTATTTTACAGGACCTGCTTTAGAAAGGGCAAGGCCTCCACAGCTTGAGTTTCAGGCACCCTGTGAAGATTGTCCAGTTAATCACTGCTTTCAGCTGTCTTGGTGTCAGATTGGCTATTACTGTATTACAATTAAAAAAGCCAAAGGAACAATGTTGTTGATTTTGAAAAACAAGAAGATGTTTTAGATATTGTTCAAGAGTTAAGAAAGAATAAAAAATAAATGCTGTTTTACCTTGTAAAATCTCTGAAAATATCTAAATGCAAATCTTTACTCAATTTTGCTTTGTGCTGCAGTGAAGTGTGAAATAACAACTGAGTCAACATGTAGTCTAATATTTGTCTGATATAAAAACAGATAAAAATTACAACATGAGCACAGATATTTATTAATCAATTGATAGTTAGTATTCATTAAAAAAAACTTTAAAAGAAAAAAATACAATAAAACCAAAGACGTACAACCAGGGGTGGGATTCTACCAGTTCGGACTGGTTCTATAGAACCGGTTGTTATGATTCTGTGCAGTTCAGAGAACTGGCAAATTGTGACCCTGGCTGGCCCCACCACTGTCTGTCTGCCCCTCCCCTCCCTGCCCAGTCAGTCCTTATCACGCATGCGCAACATCGTGCGCATGCGCAACATTGTTGACTGTGTTCTCCCCTGCCAAGTCACTTCTTAAGGCAGGGGTCTCCAACCTTGGCAACTTTAAGACTTGTGGACTTCAACTCCCAGAGTTCCTCAGCCAGCTGGCTGAGGAACTCTGGGAGTTGAAGTCCACAAGTCTTAAAGTTGCCAAGGTTGGAGACCCCTGCCTTAAGGTATTTCTTTTTTCCCCCTTCCAACAATCAGCTGTTCTGATGATCAGCTGTTCCGGGATCCCCCTCACTGTCTTACTGCTTTACTCAGGAGGCTTCCCTGAGGCTCAGGAGGCAAAAAGGGGCGTGCGCAGGAGGGCATGATTTTTTTTGTCTTCCTGGGCCCCAGGGAAGCTTCCTGGGAGCAAAAATGACCCCAGAAGGCTTCCCAGAGGCCCAAGAGGCCCAAAAACAGAGCGCAGAGGGGTGCTGCATGTCCCCCCTACACTCTTTTTCTTTTCTGGGCCCAAGGGAAGCCTTCTGGGAGCAAAAATGCTCTCCGAGGAGGCTTCCCTAAGGAGGCTTCCCTGAGGCCCAGGTGGCAAAAAAGGGAGGGGGGTTGCTACAAAAAAAAAGAAGAAGAAGCCATGCCCACCCAGTCACATGGCCACGCCCACCTAGCCATGCCCAGTTGTCAAAAAAATTTGAATCCCACCCTTGCATACAACTTTCATAAAATTAAACCAACACTGGAAGAACAGGCAAGGATTGAAGTAGTAATTAAAGCACAGTTTAATTAAGAGAGCCAGTTGGTTAGGCACTAGGCTAGAAATCAGGATACTGTAGGTTCTGGTACCACTTTAAGCATGATGACCTTGGGCCAGTCACACACTTTCAGCCCAACTCACTGTACAGGATTGTTGTGGTGGGTCAGAGGTCTCCAAACTTGCGGACTTCAATTCCCATTCTGGGGATTGAAGTCCACAAGTCTTAACGTTGCCAAGTTTAGGGACCCCTGTTGTAGGGAAATAGGAGAAGGAAGGATTATTAGGTATGGTCACTGCCTTGAGTTATTTATAAAAATAATAAAGGTGAGATTAAAAAAAATAAACCAAAGTATTTGAAGCAACTGGTTAAGTTTAGTTTAAAGAAAAGCTAACTGATGCTTTTCAAATGCCTGAAAGAATGTCATGTAAAAGATATATATCAAGATCCGATATTGAAGCCTGGAGGGCAGGACTTGGAATAGTAGATTTCAGTTAGAGGAAGATAAGATTCCAATTGAATGTTAGAAGAAACTTCCTAATAATAAGAGTAGTTAGACAGTGGAATCAATTGCTCAGATAAGTGATGGACATTGTAAGTGTTCCAATGGAAACTAGATAGCCATCTTTCAATAATACTTTAATTTGGATTCTTGCACTGAACAGAATGTTGGATTTGAAGACATGAATGGCCTCAATTCTGCAATTCTATAGTCTCCATGTTCAAGGGAATTCCAGTCCCTCCCTTGAATCTAATACAAAGACTATGCTTCTTTATCGCCTTTAAAAGAAAAAAACCCTAAGCTTTTTCCAGGAAAAAAAGGTAGAAAAACTCCCAGAATTATCTTAATTTGAAATTATCCAAATATTTGTTACAATATTTTGGGCCATGTTTTTTAATTAGGAATGTTAGAAACATTATTCATGTTTTCAAATAACAATGTTGAAAGGTAGTTTACTTCAATCTAGGTCTTTTGGGGCAAACCTGTAGCCTCCTTAGGGCCCTTTGCATGTCGTTTGCATCTTCCTTATGGCCCTTATGTTTTTTTCTTAACAGTCAAAAGGAATTAGTCTTCATGTAACATCCAGGCTAATTAATTTAAGAAATAGGACAGGGCTAATTACATCTGAAAGAGCCATTTTGGTGTAGTGGTTAAAGTACCAGGCTAGAAACCAGAAGACTTTGAATTCTAGTCCCACCTTAGCCACTTTGTTGATATTTAAAAACAGAATTCAGCAAGCAGACCTAGAGTGCAGATTGCAACCCTGAGAACTATGCACTACGACAAAGCTAACTTCTGAGAAAGAGGTTAATACCCTTTCTGAGCTATTATTTAAAGTTCAGCACTGATCTATTTTTAGACAGTAGCGTGAGAAGAGGTTGGCTGAAAATAGACACAGATCATGTCTCCTTGTAGAATATAGAACATTGAAACACTTCATTTTCAGAGAACATAATTGGTATTTGGGATATAACCACTGTGCTCTCAAACCTTTGCAAAAAAAAGATCTCTGCAAAAGACAAACATTTTGTGTAGGCCCTTACAATACAACAGCCTAATAATGGGATGGAATTTTGAAAAGTAGGTTTTTCTAAACAAGTTTGGGAGTCATTGAATTCAGGTTTTCCCTCAAATCCCTTACTGTTGTATAGTTTTAACAAATTGTTTTAACAAGTATATACAGTATATAGTATATTTCTGCTATCATACTTTCAGTCCTCAGAACTGAAAGACCATGCTGGTGTGCAGTTCTGAGAATTGAAATTCATTTTATCTAGATTAGAATTCTTTATTGAGAATTGGACACACAAGGAATTTGTCTTGATGCAAATGCTCTCAGTATACATAAAAGAAAAGATACATTCATCAAGAGTCAAGAATCATAAGGTACAACTCTTAATGATAGTCCTAGGGTACAATAAGCAATCAAATCATCTAGGAAAAAGTCAATGTAAATTGTAAGGATACAAGCAACAAAGTTACAGTCATACAGTCACAAGTGGGAGGGGATGGGTGATAAGGAGTGATGACAAGATTAATAGTAACAGCAGTGCAGACTTTGTAAATACAGTGTTGAGGGAATTATTTGTTTAGCAGAGTGATGGCTTTTGGGAAAAAACTGTTCTTGTGTCTATCTGCAGCACAAGCTGGAGAAGTTAGTGTAATGCCTCTAAGTAGGCACATTGTCTGCTAACCACTGAGCTATTGTTGTTTGTAAGATTCTATTTGGATAGAACATCTGTCTGTTCAACCATGAACTGTTAAGTCCACACAATCTTCAGATAATATCAATGCTTTGGACAGCAACTTCCTCAGGTTCTCCATAAACCTCTCTACCAGGTCCAATGTTTGCTCAGTTCTTCAGCATATTATTATTTGAGCCACACATTTAAAGGGATAATTCCCTTTATGCTGCTCTCAGCAATTGCTCAAGGGCTTTCAAATCAAGAAGTCTGAAATATATTCGTTGCAGCAGTGATTGAGACATTTCTTTAAAATTCAGACCATTTTTGACTATGATTCTGGAGTCTATTTCTCATGGAGATCATTTTTGAATCTTTTTTTAAAGTGAAACAATTAAAGCAGAAACGGGATTCTCCATTAAATCTATGTCAAATTGTTGGCATGTAAATTAACCAGACTCATTTTTGCTTCTTCTGAATATTTTTTTGAACTCTTGATGTTATATGTATTCTCCTCCCATCAAAATAATCAGGTCTGGGGGAAGAATGCTTTAAGACCAGTGTAAGTATAGGTCTTGTGAATATTATGATCTTGGAACTGTTACAGAGGTAAAAATTTGGCACATGATTAGCATATTTAACTAAAGATTTTCACTGAGTAATTCAATTAATGTTTCAATAAGTGCTATTTCTTTTACTTATATTTAGTATTAGTACTCCAATAAATATCCCATTAAATAAATAACATTTATCTATAACTTAAATACATATTGTTTGTTACCAAATAAAAATAGAGTTTCCAAGGCAATTTTCTTCCCCCTTTTCTCTAAGGTCATCCATGAATAGGGTAATATTTCATTTATACCTTCCCTGAACTCTACCAAGATACCTTTGTCCTACCAATTATCTTTTTTCCATTTTAGGAGATTGTCAACTTTAACTGTCGTAAACTTGTTGCCACCATGCCTCTGTTCGCCAATGCTGACCCAAATTTTGTAACAGCCATGCTAAGCAAGTTGCGCTTTGAAGTGTTTCAACCTGGAGATTACATTATCCGAGAAGGAGCTGTGGGGAAAAAGATGTATTTCATTCAACATGGGGTCGCTGGTGTTATCACTAAAGCCAGTAAAGAGATGAAATTGACTGATGGCTCCTACTTTGGAGGTGAGTACAATGAAAGTTTTCGGATGGTAAAGATGCAGAGATTGAATGTAGGTTTACTGAACATGAATTGCTTTACAAAGGCTATGAAGACTCTATGAGATGTCTATTTGGGGTTTCTTCTTTTTCTTTCACCACAGAGCATGGTGAAAGCAGCATACAGTAATTTAAAAAAATTATCATAAGCAGTTTTTGCTGGGAGACTTTGATACACTGTTTTGATAACCAGGAATATCATTATCTGTCACCCAACTCCTATTCATGCACCATGTTGTCTTGGCTCCTAATCAGTCACTATCCTAGAGCCAGATAAACTAAGCATGTATATTCTTTGATTTCCCATCAATTGGTAACTCATAGCTGAACATATAATTAATGCCATTAAAAAGCATATGGATAGACACAGATCTGCATTTGTATACAAAATTTTTTTAAACTTGGGACATGGTTATCCCAAAGATGCTTTTTCAAGAAGCAATTGGACTTTCTGTTTTTTTCTTTGAAGATGTTTTGCTTCTTATCCAAGAAGCTTCTTCAGGTCTGGCTGGATGGTGGAGAATGGAAGGATTTATACTCCTTGCAGACAGCTGGTCATTTGCATTCTTTTAGCAAGTTGTTAAGGCCACATGGAGATTTACCTGTGTCTTATCAGATGACTCGCTAAAGAAATGTCCAGTTGCCTCTTAAAAAGAAACTTTGAGACAACCTTGACCTAGATGACTGAGAATTTCCATATAAAATGACATGGTTATCTCTGTTGTATTTAGCCCATAATGGCTATATATTTCTTCATGATTGTCAACATTATCTCATGAACTGCAGAGGAATGTGTACTCCCACATCCATATTTCCTTATATCCAACTGCCTAATTTAACCCTGGATATGATACAAGAGTGAGCACACTTCTCCTCCAACTAAAAAGTAATTTATCAGCATTTCACAGAACCTATCAAAATGGATGATGCAATATTTTTTGCTGGTCAAACAGAATTCAAGTGAGTTATTTCACTAACAATTGCTTTAATTGGTGAAACAAGAAACTGCAATTCCATTTCTCGTGTTGATGCTCAATATCTTTGAGAAGTTATAGGACCTTCAGGATTAGAATAGATTAGAGTAATGGGGACTTGTACAAAGAAAATGGTGATAATAATACCATGGAAACACATTTTGATTGCTCTCATGCTTGTACTTTATCAGAGCCATTTACTTCCTCCTAGTTGAAATTCCTGATATTTGTATTTGAGGATATCCTCTTGTGTTTATTAACTAAAAGATGTAAACTCATTAATTTGGGACTCTGTGGAATAACAATTTTTATAGGCGAACAAGTGATAGGTTCTATTTTGCAGCCTGTATTTGAACCATAGATACAGGCTGCAATTCTTCTATGATATTTCCTGCTGTTTCATTTACAGGTACAAAAAATGTAGTCACATGTATCTTTCACCTGACCATTTTTTAACAGCAGAAAACATCTTCAAAGGGTGGGAGTTTAAAGAGGAAATAGGACTGTTTTTCTTTCAGTTCATTCTCTCTTACACATACACAGAGATATCTAGGTATTTCTCCCATCCAGAAAAGAATAGCTGAAGGTGGTATGTATGTATCATGCTTAATCTGAGCAATCAAATGAGGTGAGAGATGGATCCAGTTTGTTTCAAATATTTTAATCAGTTGAGAAGGTTGATTTGACTCAGTCCAAACTTCCAAATCAATTTACTCTAAGCCTCTCAGTTACACCTGATTCAATCTGGAGTACTCTGGGCTATTAAAATGTAAGCAAACAAGCATAATAACATATGAATCAGTCTGATTTCATATAAGTTACCCATTCTGGATAGGCAACATGACACTATAAACAACAATAATCACAATCACAATTCATTTGATAAGTGCTTAATCAAAACAGTAAATAAAATAAAAAGCAGTAAAGTGGCAATATTTTATTAACTTTTCACAATGATTCCTCTAATATTTTAAAATAGAAAATGTTACACATGGAAGTTTAGATGGTTGAGCAGTTTCTACCCTAAGTTAGTAAAAAGAAAGTGATTGAACACTTTAGCAACTCACAAACCAGGGGCTTTGGTTTTAATATCTTCCCTTTTGTCAACATTGCCTGAAATCGGACATAGAACCACCAGAATACTGTACTCTCCATTTCCCAGAAGTCATCAATCACAATCAATGTAATCTCCATTCAAAAATGGAACCTGAAATCTGTCTAAAAAGTATCCAAATATGGTGCTTTCTGTAGAAGCTACAACCTAGCTTCATTAACTTTCTTTAAAAAATGGAATGATGGAGAGTAAACAATTTTTGTCCAGAACTGTAATAAAAGAATGTGATCTGTATCCAATGGTCAAGCAGTTCTTCAATATTTTTATAAGCTTACTAGTTTGTAATTTAGAATACTCCTTTAGAATTTGTACTGATTACCTGCAATTTTTTTTAAAGTATCATTGAAGAGAAATCCAGCTAGCTATCTTACTTTTAAAACAACAACAACTAAGATTAGGCTTTTAAGTCAATGAAAAGTTAAAAGTTTAATTGGAGGTGAAGGGGATATATTTAGAATGTTGCTACTTGCTCATAACATTATTTCAACATCCATTTCCCATTCAAAGTGGGGAAATGAAATTTTATTACTTTGGAGGCTTGATGCCAGTTATCAGTAGATCAGGGAAATACAGATCTGCCAAGGCTCAGAAAGTTTGGCAAACCATTGCCTTGAAATGACTTCATGTTTCTTCACTGAGCATTTATTTACCATTTTTAATGAAATATTGATGTGACATTGCACGATAACTAATTACATTGTGAGGTGTAGTTTTATGTGGACAATTGTCTGGCAACGATTGGATTAGTATTGCATTGCCAGCTAGGCATTATGTTGTTCTAGGAGTGCAACATAATGCACTCCTGGAGCATTATTTTTTTATTTCAGCTTGGAAAAGCAACAGTAATTGGGAAGGAAGGAGGAATTTTCATACCTGATTCAGATTACTGTGTCAAATTTTACTCTACTTTATGAAGCAAATTCAATTAAATATGCTTTACATAGAGTGGAACCAATCTCAAAACAGTTTTTTGGGGGGGATATAATATGCAATTATTTATCAAGTAAGACTTCTGGTGCCAAGGACAACTTATCTTATTACCTTATATTGAGGAAGCACAATAAGCAGCCCCTCTAACCATTAGAAGTACCATCTGGACACTCCTACCCCCAAATATGCTACAACTTGTGATTTCTATCTGTCAAAAGGAGAAATTATTAAGTTCATGGGGAATAATCATATCAAAGATATTTTCAACTTAAAGATACAGTCAATTAAATTATAACAAATTTCGGATTTGTTTAGAATCTGACCCTGATATTTCAAATCTCATTTGAAAATGATATGGGCACCTTAGAATGTAAAGCAATTTTAGTGTAATGGCCTCTTACATTATTCTTAAACTCTAACTACTCATTATCTCAGCTGACTCATTTCCAGACTAGACAGTCTCTTAGGTATAAATGGGAATTCTGAGAGCAGGTTAGGGACATTTTACAAAATGGTTGCTAGGAGCATTTTGATTAGTTGCAAAGTAATTGCCATGGTGAACATGGCCAGTCAAAAGATGCTCATTTGCCAAAATAAACTGTACCCATCCAAAAAGTTTCTTTGCCATTCTTTGCAAGCCTATGATATTCGTTTATATAAATTGAACACTCAAATCTAGTTCTTTATTTTGCAGCAGGTTCCTGTTTATATATTTTATATATTTTAAGAACTCAGAACAAACATTGAGCCTAGTGGACACTAAAGAATATTTCTGGGAGCCACAGTGTCTATTTCTGGCCTCAGCTGTATGAATATATTTTGTGGCAGCATGGATTTTGAAATCTCCTTCAACTGAATACAGACGATTTTAAATAAAGGAATTAATTTTTCATCTGATCTAGGATAGTTTCATCATTTCACTCAAATTATCTGCATCAGGAAAGCACACAAGCATCTTGATCTTTAGGAGACAGTGGTGAAATAAAATATGGTATCATTTTCTCTCTTCATGATCTGACTTGGAAAAGAATTACATATACATTACGTATCTGATATTAACACAGTTGAGAAAGTCCAGAAATATTTCACAAGAAGAGTTCTACACTCCTCTACTCATTGCAGAATACCTTATGCCACCAGACTTGAAATTCTAGACCTGGAAAACCTAGAACTACGCCGCCTTCGGTCCGATCTAAGTATAGTATATAAAATCATTGCAGTGTCCTACCTGTCAATGAATACTTCAGCTTCAACCATAACAATACAAGAGCAAACAATAGATACAAACTCAAGGTAAATCGCACCAAACTTGATTGCAGGAAATATGACTTCAGCAACAGAGTGGTCAATGTCCGGAATACTCTACCTGACTCTGTGGTTTCTTCCCCAAACCCCAAAAACTTTAACCTTAGACTGTCTACTATTGACCTCACCCCTTTACTAAGAGGTCTGTAGGGGGTGTGCATAAGCCCACCAAAGTGCCTACCGTCCCTGTCCTATTGTTTCTTTTATTTTTCTTATATGTACTCATTTCTTGTATTCATAACTATGTTTATCCTTATACCTATTATCTTGTAAGCGATTGACAAATCAAATAAATAAATAAAATAAATAAATAAAAAATGAATTGCAATTCAGTTGTATTAATTGAAAGTTTGAAAAAAAATTAAGTTACATATCAACCATCTTTACTGAAAAGTTTATTTCAGATGAATAATCTGAAATCAAGCTCACTAACTCAAATATTTCCTAACATACAGAGGAGATAGTACTGGATTACAGAGACCAATATATTCCAAATCAAGTCACAGTCTCTGGCCCCCAAGTCCAAAATGGTCTATTCTGTTTAAATTTTGCATACCAGATCATATGCTGCTGATGGTCCTGAGCCACTTTTTAAAAAAACTTATTTTAACTGAAAGAAGATTTACCCAAAATTTTGCTAAACCAAGTATTGAGCATTCTTATTTGAAGAGCTTTTGGATTAACTGAAGATGATTTTGAGACAGTGGAATTTGTACTGTTGATTGTTGAATAGGTAAGTAAGTAAATTAAAATTTTGCAGGGAAATTGGTCACATGAAATCATGCAATTCTGTGAAGTGTTCTAGAATTTGAATCCCATTAATTTTTTTCTGGGTGTTGACATTCTGGGTGTTTCTTGGGTTCTCACTTCAGAAAATTTTCATTTGTGAATTATAGAAGACTGCAGATATGTAAGTCTTCTTATTGAATCTTCTCACACATGAATAGTTTAATGACTGCACATGATTATTTGCTTTCTGAATGCTACATCTCATAATTGCCATCTATTTTAAGAGAGGCACCAATCAAGCCTGTTCCATTTAACTTTATCTTCTAAGTTTATTTTGTGAAACTTGGCTTACAGTATTTCAGTATTTCTGGAGTGACTTTAGATTGGTTGTTCTCATTACAATGATAATTAGCCTTCCTTTAAAAACTCATAAAGGGAATAATTTTTCAGAAAGACTAAGTAATTACAGAAATCTCTAGATATGAATGCTATTGATGCATAATTATAAACAGAATGTAGCTATATGTTTTTATCTTTTAGTTGAGTTTCAAGGGGAAAAATTATACAGTAAAATCATGCCAATGTTTATCCCCTTGTTATTGGATTTTATGTCTGGTTATTGAAAGTCCTAAAAATAGGCTTCTGTAAAGGCTGACCCTTTTAAAGGGATCAGAGACCTGTATTTTGCTGTAAGAATTAAAAAAAAAACTTGAGAGACTCTAAGCTTTATAGTAAGAGAGTGATGCAATTTCTGAATTTTGGTAATCCAGTTTCCAGAAGATCTCTGTAATCTTCCCAGTTACTTCCCAGTTGCTTTATTATTATTATTATTATTATTATTATTATTATTATTATTATTATT